TCCGAAGTATTTGCGCGGTTCAAAGACTTCAAAGCACAAGTAGAACTTGAGACCGGAAGGAGAATCAAGTGTTTGAGGACGAGACAATGGAGGAGAATATGTAGATGGAGATTTTCTAGCATTCACGCAAGCAAGAAGGAATTGTGAGACAATTTTCCGTTCCACACACGCCTCGCGAGAATGGTGTAGCAGAGCGGATGAATAGAACTCTTCTAGAGAGAACCGAGCTATGCTGCAAACTGCGGGCATAACAAAGTCTTTTTGGGCGAAGCCGTGAATACCGCTCGTTACTTGATAAATCGGTCTCCATCAACGGCAATTGGGTTGAAAACTCCTATGGAAATGTGGAGTGGAAAATCAACCGATTATTCTTCCTTACATGTGTTCGGTTGTCCCGCGTACGTGATGTACAACACCCAAGAAAGGACGAAGTTGGATCCAAAATCCAGGAAATGCATCTTCTTGGGATATGCTCGACAATGTGAAGGGGTATCGCTTGTGGGATCCCACTGCCCACAAAGTTATTGTTAGCAGAGATGTCGTCTTTGCGAGAAAATGAACTGCAAAGCAAGCGGATAAATGACGACTCGGAAAAGGACAAGACTATAGTACGAGATAGAGAAGAAGACTTCGGAACATTCCTCCGAGTCGGAGGAGGAGCATGAAGAACATGAACCAAATGAGGTGGAAGAAGGAGAACTCCGACGATCAACAAGAGAAAGAGTCGGACCATCTTGGCATTCACAATATGTGATGGCAAGTCATGATGCGTATTGTCTCCTAAGTGAAGAAGGAGAACCTTCAACTTTTCAAGAGGCCGTGAGTGGTTCAGAAGCTCCTCTATGGATGACTGCTATGGAAGAAGAAATTGAAGCTCTTTATAAAAACAAGACATGGCATCTTGTGGAACTTCCAAAAGGTCGCAGAGCCATTGGTTGCAAATGGGTCTATAAGATCAAGAGAGATGCCAATGATCAAGTGGAAAGATATCGTGCTAGACTGGTGGTAAAAGGATATGCTCAGAAAGAAGGCATTGATTTCAACGAGATATTCTCACCAGTTGTTAGATTGACAACAATCAGAATTGTCCTGGCGATGTGTGCTGCATTTGATTTACATCTTGAGCAATTGGATGTAAAAACTGCTTTTCTTCATGGAGAACTTGAAGAGGAAATATATATGCTCCAACTAGAAGGCTTCAAAGAGCAAGAAAACTTGGTTTGTAGGTTGAACAAATCTCTATACGGTATAAAGCAGGCGCCAAGGTGTTGGTATAAGAGATTTGATTCCTTCATTATTAGCCTCGGATACTACAGACTAAGTTCGGACCATTGTACTTACCACAATAGGTTTGAAGAAAATGATTTCATCATATTGTTGTTGTATGTGGATGACATGTTGGTGGTAGGCCCTAACAAAGCTCGAATCCAAGAATTGAAGGCACAATTGGCTAGGGAGTTTGATATGAAGGACTTGGGACCAGCAAACAAGATTTTAGGGATGCAAATTCACCGAGACAGAAAAGATAGGAAGATTTGGCTTTCTCAAAAGAATTATTTACTTAAGATCTTGCGGCGCTTCAACATGCAAGATTGCAAGCCAATTTCTACCCCACTTCCTGTCAACTGTAAGTTATCCTCAAGTATGAGTCCTAGCAGTGAAGCGGAGAGGATTGAAATGTCTCGAGTACCGTATGCATCAGCGAGTGGGAAGTCTTATGTATGCCATGATTTGTACAAGACCGGACATTGCACAAGCAAGTGGGAGTGGTTAGTAGATTCATGGGGAATCCTGGTGGAGAGCATTGGCAAAATGTGAAGAGGATCCTTAGGTATATAAAAGGAACCTCAAATGTTGCATTATGTTATGGAGGATCGAAGCGGTTGTTAGAGGCCATGTTGATTCGGATTTTGCAGGTGATCTGGATAAAAGGAAGTCTACTACTGGTTATGTGTTTACCATCAATGGAGGGGCAAGTAAGTTGGTTATCCAAGTTACAAGATGTGGTAGCTCTGTCTACTACGAAAGCTGAATACATGGCTGTCACCCAAGCATGTAAAGAAGCTATCTGGATTAAAAGAATAATGGGGGAACTTGGTCACAAGCAACAACAAATTGTTGTGTACTGTGATAGTCAAAGTGCCTTACACATTGCAAGGAATCCAGCCTTTCATTCGAGGACAAAACACATAGGAATAAGATATCATTTTGTTCGAGAAGTAGTAGAAGAAGGAAGTGTAGATTTACGAGAAGATTCACACCGAGAAGAACCTAGCAGATGTAATGACAAAGCCTAGGTTAATGTCGACAAGTTTATACTGAGTCGATCCCTCTATGGCCTATCGAAAGCATAAGCAACATGGATGTGAGAGAAGAAGACATAGTGTGAAGATTTGATTAATTTCATCAAAATCTTCAAGTGGGAGATTGTGAAGAAAGAAGTCCCACATCGGTGGGAACTTCAATTGGGGGGCTCTCCTCCTTCTTATAAAAGGAGCCCCTCCCTCCTTATTTCAATATCCCAAAATTTCTTTCCTTCTCTAAGTATTAGAAAGTGTTGTCATTCTTAGGACTAGAGAAGGGGTATGTAATTTTTCTTTCTATTATAAAATTTCCACTTTTGTCTATTATTGCTATTCAATTTTTCTCTTCTCTATTTTAGTTGAGTTCTTGTGCAAGTAGTCTGATATCTAACAAATAGTCCATCAAGTTTTTGTGAGTATTTAATTGTGAGATTGAAAAAACAAGAAATGATGATTTCAGAATAAGTTTTTGAAATCGTTCGAAGCATATAGTTTTCTCAAGATAAAGAAAAATTTAGAGAAGTCCAATAATGGAAGAGAATAATAAGGTATTTGACGTAATATCAACTATAAACAACGATGGAGATGGAGTTGGAGATTTCAATTTTTTTTTTTGGTGATGTAGTGTCTCATCTTTGAGTTTTCAAGAACTCATTGTGCTTAGTGATTAACATATTATGGTTTTGGATAAAGTTAATGTTCATGTTTGTTTTTCTTGGGTTCTTTGGAGAAAAGGAAAAGGGGTAAGGTTTTCCTTATAGATATTTTGAACAAAGGGTGGAGTTCTGTGTTTTAGTGAATTAGACCTTATGTTAATAGATATTTCAAAGAGAACGAATTGGTTTGGAGCATGACTGATCTATGTTTGTTGTGTCTTGTTTGGTATTTTGGTTTTGTCCTTTGTGTTTGAGACTTCACACGCCCATCAATAAATCCTTCATCATATTGATTGAATTTTAATCAAATTATAACATGGTGTTTTGAGTTATTGATTCATCTTTTGCAATTTACTTCAAATGTTTTTGGATATTCTACATCAACTTAAGATGTTTTCAGATATTCCACAACAAGTTAAAGTTGTTGTTTGTATTTTTTATTGAATGATGAGTGGTAAATTCCACGATTTATCTTGCATAAAATACTAGTTTAGGTAAGAAACTAAATTTTTTTAGTTTCTTTAAATGATGGTATTCTTACCTATAAAATTGCTTATTATTTGGTTCTTTACAAATGTTTGTCTTATCTCTTCATTTTTCTTTTCAAGATAATTTGGCCCTCTTGTATTCCTCCATCAATATATTTATTCATAGTAAGTCTTGCATATTCATATATATATCTACAACTGAACGTTTAGTGTTAGATGTTTTCATTTGTAATCTTTGTTGTGAAAAAATATTGGTTCTTTGGTATTGGTTTAATGGTGTCTTTGGATATCATATAAGTCTAGTTAATATTCCTTACACTTTTCCTTTATACATCGAGGTAAAAGCAAAATTTAGTACGTGAGGTGGGTACTATTGGTATCTTTTAGGCTATATGGTGTTTACATAACAATTTGTGGTTCAATAAGAGGTGCACTCTCCATGATCTTGTTAGGATTATCATGTAATTTTCTCACTTTTTAAAGGTCACATACTTAATGCATAGTGGGTTTTAAAGTTTTAGAATATTTTAATATTCCTTTACTATTATTGCCCCCAAAATTTATTGATATTTTTTGCGGTTCCACTGAACAAGGTTATAGTAAGTGTAATATTAATGATGCTATATGTGGAAATAGAGGTTGAGTCATATGTATATATATATATATATATATATATATATATATATATGGGATGAGTTGGTATATTTGAAGGAAGTAATGGTAATTTTTTGAGATATCCCACACATTGAGTTCAAATTGAGCTTTTACTGTTGACTATTGAGCTAGCTGCTAATAGGGATGCTATAATTTGTCTTGAATGTGATTTGAGTTTGTTAGTGTTAGGTTATTAAATATGTTTTTTTGGTTTACTAGTGTTTAATTGAAATGTTTTCGTTGAGCGGCGAATTTTTATTATTCATTTTGGGTGAAATAATATATAATTAATAAATAATAAATAAATATTAAAAGATGAGAAAATATAAAAAATGTGAAATATCAAAATTATAAATATATTTTATAATTTTACTTGTATTTTTTATAAATATTAAATTAAACTATTAAATACATTAAATAAAAAAAATATTTTATATCCTCACCTATTTTCATTTTTTTTTTACATTTTTAATTAATGTATTATTTATTTTATTTGATGAGTTTATTATCGTTATTTGTAAAGATCGATCACTAGTCTTTGTAGCTATACACATATTTTTATTTTTGTTTTCATTTCATTTTACTTAAATACATTTTGTTTTGATTCTCTACTGAATAGTTTTAATCCATTTTAATTCCTATAAACTATATCATAGAAATAAAAGAAATTTGCTTTTAATTATAAAACAAAAAAATATTAATTTTATATTTGTTACCATTAAACACACTACATCTATTATTGATCCATGTGCATTAATTAGGGGGTATGGATCAAAATTAGGTGTAGTAGTTGCTAAGTAACATAAACTAGTGTTGGAAAGGCAATTTTTAAGAAGAAAATTCATAAAGTAATAATGAACATATGTGATTAAGAAACTTCGATAGTAAAGTAGTGAAGATTAAGTTCTCACTATGGTAAGAGGATCTTCATCATCACGTCCATGACTAGGTCCAGCTCCATGTCCATGTTCATGTCCACCATGACCATGACCATGTCCATGACCATGACCATGACCATGTCCATGTCCAAATCCATGACCATTTCCTCGACGATGGTTGCCACTTAGGGGATCCCTGTCATTTCCAAGGCTTAAACGCTTGACTTCACCCAATTCAGTCTTTTGAGTCTTCTTGTTTGCACGAGCTTGACTAAACACCATTGAATAGTCAGTAGGCACTCCTGCAGCCTTTTGTTCCCACCCTCCAAATTTAGGCACAGACGTCTTCGTAGGTTTTTTCTGCATACATTCAAATATTCAAACATAGGATCACTTTAGTAACTTTGTTCCTCCTTTTTCTTAAAATGCATATACAAATAAATAAATATATATACAGAGAGAGAAAAGAATTAATAATTTCAAAGGAGAATCATGTTGAATCCCTTTGAATTGTATTGGTTAATACCCCCTTATCAATGCACATTAACCAATACAAGTTCAAGGTTTCAATCAAACTCATATAATAAAAAATAAAAATAAATAAATTTTTTATAGACTAAATTTAGTAAGCTTATAAATTAATGTGTACACGTTTTCATTTTTAATTTTTTTGAAATTTAATTTTTAATTTATTTATAAGTTAATTTCAATTGATACAAAAATTATACTTTCTTTCATAAATATTTATCCTAACAATTTCATGCACACAACATAATATATCTGTTTTTGACATTATAAGTTAATAATATTGTTATTAATCAATGGAGATCGATCAAGTTCAAGATATTATGGATCTTTTGTGAGAAAATTGATTAGGGAGAGACAACACTAATAAGATATGAGTTAAATCTACTTAAAAGATTGACATCATATTCCTAACTTAAAACTTTAAGGTATAACTTAAAATCTTAAGGTATTAAACAATAAATCACACTTTTTAAAATATTACTTAAGTATCTTATTCTTTGTTAATGTAGATTTACACTACAAGAAATTTTGATATTACCGACGGTCAAAATTACGTCGGTAATAACAAAAATCTCGTAATTACCGACTGGACAGGAGTCCGTCAGTAATATTTTTATTATTTATTAAATATTTTACTTATATAGATTATTTATTTTATAGAATACCCCTTCCCTTCCCTTTATATTTTTATTATTTATTATTAATTATTTTTCCCTATTACATTTTTATAGGCTTCAATTATTATATTAAGAGAATTGTCATTGATAGGATTCGAACCCAAGTACCTTAGAGTTAGAGGTCGATACTCCAACCACTAAGCTACTGGAATTTTTCGATAATAATTTACAAATAAATTATATTTATATACAAATATATTAATATATTTATATACAAATATATTTATATATTTATATATTTATATATTTATATATTTATATATTTATATATTTATATATTTATATATTTATATATTTATATATTTATATATTTATATATTTATATTTTATATATTTATATATATTTATATATATATATATATATATATATATTTATATACAATTAAATATTTTTATATATTTTTATATATTTATATATAATTAAATATTTATTTTTTATAATTATTTAATTTAAGAAATTATTATAAATTAATCTAATTATGATTAAATGAAATTATTAAATAAAAAATATTTAATTTTTTAATTAGTTGAATATTTATTAATTGATAATTTACCGACGGAAATATCCGTTCGGTAATTTACAGATGAATTTACCGACGGATATATCTATCGGTAATTAATTTATCGACGGATTTATTGACGGATATATCCGTTGGTAAATTCATCCGTCAATTACCGACGGATTTATCGACGGATATATTCAGTCGGTAACTAATTATTATTTTATCGATGATATATCCGTCGGTAAGATCAAATTCCACAAATATTTTATATCTATCGGTAATTTCCGTCGGTAATAATTATTTTCCGATCGGATACAAATCCGTCGGTAAATATCTCATCGGTAATACGCGATTTTCTTAAATTTGTAGTCATTACCTATTAAGCTATATGAAAAGAAGATAAAATCTTCTCTTTAATTAATTATTGCTGGGAGTTTTTGTAATTTCCATAAGTGAATAATAATAAAAAAACTAAAATAGATTAATTTCGCCCTTCTATACTTAAGCTATAAAGCTAGTTTGGGTCGGTAGTACAAATCATCCAAATCTTAGGTTAGGTTTTTATATTTTTTTTATACAACCAAATTTCACATATCCACTCTTGATCGGATTGGGTTGGGTTGATCGGATATAAATAAATTAAAATTTTAATTTTAAAGTATATTATTTAAAATATTTTTAAAATAGATTAAATTATTTATTATTAAATAATTTAATAATATAATATTTAAAAATATATTTATTTAATATAATAAATATATTAAATAATAATTATTATTATTATTATTAATGTTAAAAGTTATTTAATAATTTTTATTTAATAAGTTATGTTAGGTCTTGGATTGAACATATAAAATCTATCATCCAATCTGTTAAAACGGAACCCAATTCATTTGAATTGGATTGGGTCATACTACATGTTATCTCCAATTCAATAAATAGCCCTAAATTTGTGTTTTATAAACATTTCCATGTTTCATCAATTGCATGTTTGAGTGGGATAAGGTACTGTTGAAGAGAACCTTGCTGCGTCCATAGAAAATTTGGTCAGATATTCAGTAATATTAAAATAAAAAATAAATTAAGATTACAGAATAAAATTTCTACATATAATCATTTATCAACAATAGTAATAGAAGAGCCATAAAAATATATGAAAGTAATAATGATAATAACATGAGCATTCATTGAAAAATCTACATTAATGATATAATGCATTATATTTACAATTGATGCAACAGTATGCTATTTTTTATATTAGCAATTGTCTAATAGTAATATATATATATATATATATATATATATATATATATATATATATATATATATTATCATATTGTGAATTACAGATTCACAATGGCCATATAAAAATATTGTACCAATGAAGAAGTTCAATCGAAGTCAAGTATGTAATTTTTTTAGTGAATTAATACTACCACTTATGTTATATTCATAACTATATGATATATTTCACGTTTTTCTTAATGGTTCCAAAGATAGGGCAAAGGCATAATACAAATATTATAGTATGAACAAGATTGGTGTATGAAAATTGTGGAAAATTCTATGTATGAATCTTATATAAGACGAGATTAATCTGATAAATATAGAAATAAAATATTTAATAAATTTTTTCATCCTAACAAAAATGTCATGAAGTTTTATTTTTCATTTCTATTCCACTATAAATACATAAATGCAAATTAATAAAAGATTGAATAAAGTAAGCACGCAATTATTAAAAGGACATTTGAAATGAAAACATTTTTTTCCCCTAAAAAATCCATAATTAAAAAGAGAGGGGAGGAAAGAGTGTGAAGTTACATGCATGTATTTTAATACCCAAATGTAAATTATGGTAACGTTGATCCTAAGTCTTGTCCATTTATTTGTTTCATTGACCATTTATTGTTGGAAAAACCATTAATTTCTAATGGCTCATCAACAAAAAAAAAAAAGAATTGAGTCTACAATTTAATTCTGAATAAAGAAATTGTAGCCTCCCACCCATTCATAATTCCCCAATTAATTCATAAGCTTACCTCCCTTCTTTCCATGGTGATTGAACTAGTGAACTTGATGAGACCCTTGGATTGGAATCTTCAACAATGTGTTTGCTTGTATATAACACCTTTTTTCAAGATGTATTTGGCCTAGTTAAGAGGGTGAGAACATTCATGTTATGGGTGTTTGAGATAGGATTTTCCGACCAATATTAAAAATATCCCTTCTTCAAATGAGGGTTCCATGGAATTGAGGTATTTGAAGCTAGATGTGCCTTGATGAACTCTAACAAGAGTAAAAGTAGGGCAAAAAATTATGGTCGCCCGTTCTTCACACCTTTCCTTTTGTAAATTATGAATCGTTACGTTGCATATTAAAGTATAGCCGAAATTTAGGGTAAAAACCCTCAATTTAGCTGGAAAAAAGATAGCTACATAACATCTTTTTATCATTTAATACCACGTTTTTACGAGACATTTTATAGCAATAATCCTCCAAATGTAACATACTTGACATCAAAATCCTCACATAAACATATCATCATTATTATTTCATAACACACTATCATCTTTAAAAGCATATTTAAAGGAGTTCTTATAAAAATTACTTAAACAAAAGTATTATTTTAACGTCATCTCATATACATAAATAACTTTTTTAAAATTATAAATGGTTTATTATGTAAAAATCACATTAAAATAATATTTTATTTATAATAACGCAATGAAAGATTCAAACTCAAAATCAGGCAGGGTTTTTTTTATTATTTATTGATTATTTAATAAAATAAAGGAAAGAAAAACAGTATTTAAGAATGGTGCAGAAATCACTGACGACGCATGCTGTTTGGATTGATCTAAATATTATCAGCCAAGCATCATTCGTAGTTTAATAGAGCTCTCAATTATAGAAATTTGATGATTCTCGATATAATCACCAAATAATAACACGTACTTTTGCCATAATGAGAATTATATAGATGCGCAAATCATTATTTTATTTTCCATGTAGCCCCTAAAAAAGTACAAGCGAGAAGAACATATATCTTAATATTAAAAATCAGATCTTTTATATATATATATATATATATATATATATATATATATATATATATATATATATAATTCTTCATATTTATAGAAGGAGAAAAATTGATAATTAATAGAGAAATTATTTCTTAGATATTAGTGAAAAATGTTTCTTTATACTTCTTTTGATATGGAAAGAAATACTTTAAAGAATTAAAGAAGAAAATAAAATTGAATGAAAATATAATAATGATAAAAAATACAAATAAACTTTAAAAAAAATAAAAAATTTAAATAAATAAATATTAAAATAAAGATAAATGATGAAAATATTATTTTATTATTTTTTATTTAAATTATTATTAATTTTTGACATGATATAAAATAATGGATTAGTTTTCGAATGATAAAATTATTCGGAGGTTAAAATTCTATCATGATGCTGGACATGACATACCCTTTTAATAAAAAAATTAAAAATCAAATTATAAAGATGTAAAATCAATCAAATTAGTTGTTGAAATAAGTAAAATGGTAAAATAGTTCTTAAAATGGTATATTGTTAAACAATGTCAATGTGGTATGTGAAATTAAAACAAACAATCAAACTAGTCTTTACAATAAAATGTGGCGTTTTGAACATTAGTTTACAAGTTTTATCCTATGTTTAGTTGAATATTTGAAATTTCACCCCTTATTTATTCATATTTGCTTCTACAGTGATAAAGTGTTGAAAGTGAGATTTGAGCAATTGACTTATTCCTTCTTCATTGTCATGAAAGGCACCGAGACATTTCACACACACACACACACACACATATATATATATATATATATATATATATATATATATATATATATATATATATATATATATATATATACTATATATATATATATATATACATTACTGAATTCGTTCATTTTATTTTTAAGTCTCCATCTCTATGTTTATATTTGTTATCTAATACTAAAATTTAAATGATAAATTTATTTTTTAATTTGATAAAGTTATTAGATAAATTGACAATTTACAAATTTAATTATTAAGTTTAATTTTATAAATAATTATAACCTGAAAATAAAGTTGTAATAGATTTATAAGGCCGTTTTAACTAAGTTTTTTTTAAAAAAAAAAAAAACAGGAACCTATTCTGACCTATTTCATCAGTTTCTTAGATCAGTTTTTTTATAAATCAGTTATTGGTTTTAAATATTATAAAAATGAATTAACTTGTTTTTTTTAAATCCTTAAAAATATTCATATATTAAAAATAAAAAAGATAAAATAATAATTTTAAGAAAATTAAAAAATACTTATATAATATTAAAAGTAAAATGTAAAAGAATTGTAAAACCACGTGCTTCCACAATCCAATACATATATTTTTCAATAATATGCTCGTAATCACGTTTTGGGGTTTGAAGGCTTCACGTATTTGTGTAGTGATGACATGCCTATTTATTTATCATTTCACTTAATAATAATTTCTTGATAAATTGACTTAAAAATACGTGATAAATAAAAATATAGTTTTTTAAAGAAACTTTTCTCTTTAAAATTCATTTAACATATTAAAAAAAATCATTAATTTAATTTTAACTACTGTTTATTTTTTTTAATTATGGAAACATTAAAATCGCAAAAGTAAGTAAATTTTACGTATTTTAATGTATAAAATTTTAAAAATAAAAGAAATCTTATTCTTTAACATCAGAAAAAATAAAAAAAATTTTAAAAAATAAAAGTAGGATATATTATCGACTATGTAAATATTTACTTTAATTATAGAGTTACAGATAATCGAATGTAAATGTAAATAATTATTTATATAATAGATTATATAAATCCATAATTAATTATTTTTGAAAATATTTTAATTAATATATTTTTTATATTTATTGTAATAATAAATAATTAAAATTTATATTTAATTATAAATAAAATTATTAATAATAAATTATTTTATTTTATTTTCTACTCCCTTTTTATTGTTTTTTAATCTAAAAAACTTATCTTTTTAATATCTTTTTTTCATTTTTTTTTAAGCTAAGGAAGTTTAACAGTTTTTCCCTCAAATTCCTTCTCTGGTACAAGAAATATATGAGCAGATAAAGAGTGAAGAAGAGTGTAGGGAAAACCAAAAGACTCTGTTGTTCTGTTTTTGGGAATGCCAAAAGTTACCTCTTAGAAAACCAAGGATTGGTTGTGTCAGACTTTTCAAAATTGATCTAGCTGCTTCACTTTTTGTTACTTCCTTTCAAGTGATTAATGCAGTTAACATGCAAGTAGTTATATCTACACTACTTGCAAGCTTTTCGTGAATATATTTTCTTCCAAGGAAAATGAGCCAACAAGGAATGATGGGACTTGAGACTTCATGTAAGAAGAAGGCCAGTGGTGATTATGGCTTCACGGATGTGATTTTATCTTGGTCAATTGACAACATTCAAGATGAAGATCTTTACAGGAACAAGGTTAGCAGTGTCACTGTTCCTGCATTATATCTCATGTTCAGTTGAACTTGTTTTTTTTTTGGTGTAGATTTATCTTATGTTAGATATTTCATTCCTTATTTTGACACACACTCACCAAAGGTCTTTCATATTGTTCGTTGTGGTTGGTGTGACCTTTCACTTGATCCAAAAAGTGTTTTGCATAGGTATATGTATATTTCACATTTTTGAGACAAAGTAAACTAATTTTGGATTATTTTAGTAAGTACAAGATAATGACCAACAATTTACAGTTTTGCTCTACAAGTTATGCATGGTTTGATTTTGATTGTCCTTTGGTTTTCAGGTAGAGAAGATTGAACTATCATTTCAGTCCATTAATTATTACCTTGGATCTTATAAGTACCCTTTGTTGGAAGAAACCAGAGCACAAGTATGGTCAAGTATGGAGATCATACACGAGGCACCTTATACCGAGGTAATTGGTCTAAAGGAGGCCAAACCACTTCAACATCAATTGTATAACTTGAAAATTGATAGCTGGAGAAGTAGGTTTTCTCATTGTGGAGAACCATACAAAACATTGCCTGGTGATGTTTTAATATTGTCTGATTACAAAGCAGAAGCAGTAAAAGACTTGCAAAGGATTGGAAAGATGTGGAGTTTTGTCTCCGTTGTAAGTACAACAGAAGACGAGGGTGATAACAATATCATGTTAAAAGTTAAGGCATCGAAGGAATTTGACCCAATAGAGTTTAGGTACAAAACTCTTTTTCTCATTTTTTTGACAAATGTCAGCCCTAATAGAAGAATTTGGGCTGCACTTCATATGCCTGGTAATTTAAAGCTACTCAAGCAGATCTTATGCAGCAAGGAGGTAAGAATTTCTATTTTTGGCTTTAATATGCTTTTTTCTTAGAAATATGGAGTATATTTATTTTAGTAATAATTTATTAAGAATAGTATATTTTTTTGCCCTCATGAAAGACTACAAATATACAGCTTTTATAGGTTTCATGGACAAAAAGTGAATAAAATTTCAACAGGGACCAATTTAAGAAGTACAATAGTTCTAAGCATTGAAAAATGTTTAGAGCTGAATTTTATGTACTGATATTATATTCTAAATGCAGCATCTTAAAATATTATTCACTGTTAAATGCTAAGCTGGTGCTAACATATATCCATCCATGATTTGGTAAATCCATATTATCTGTTATTTCATTGTTGTAGAATTGAACACAGTATTCTCTATTGCTCTTATTGTTTAATGATTTTTATACCAGACTAACTACACCAACCAGATGAATCGATTCTCCAATTCAAATAACAAATTATTAAGTTGTATGTTATTTTAAGATAATTGATTTTGAAATTAGTGCTATAACTGATGAATGTATGATGAAAAACAGGATGAGGAATGTGGTTGTTGTAGCTCACTTTTACGCGATGACTATTCATATAAACTGTTATTATCAGAGCTTAATGAATCGCAAAAAAAGGCAATTTCTTCATGTCTTTCTGGCCTCAAATGCAATCACAACAAAGCCGTGAAGCTTATATGGGGTCCTCCAGGGACAGGAAAAACAAGAACTTTGGGGACACTACTTTTTGCTCTATTAAAAATGAAATATAGAGTTCTTGTATGTGCTCCCACCAATGTTGCCATCAAAGAAGTTGCGAGCCGTGTAGTAAATATAATGAAAGAGGCACATAGTAAAGAATATGGTGATTTGTTCTGTCCACTGGGTGAAGTGCTATTGTTTGGAAACAATGAGAGGCTTAAAATTGGAGAAGATGTTGAAGATATATATTTGGATCATCGTGTGCAACAGCTCACAGAATTCTTTTTCGATTCTACTGCTGGATTTAGATCTTGTCTTAAAGCAATGATTGATCTTCTTGGAGATTGTATTTCAGATTATCAGTTATTTCATGAGAATGAGCTGTTAAAGAGGGAGAAGAACCACAAATCATTTCTAGTGTTTCTGAGAGAAAGGTTTCGTGCAGTAGCAAGTCCACTAGAATCATGCATTTCTATCTTGTGTACGCATGTGGCCAGGAGTCACCTGTTGAAACATAACTTTCGGAAATTAGTGTGCTTAAATGAGGCACTTGAATCATTTCAGGACTTGTTGTTTCAAAGTAACTTGCTTTCTGAAGGTTTGGAAAAGCTATTCTCTGATAAAAATTTACCAGAGATGACTTCTTGGTTATTTGATGGTGCAGTATTCAAGTTGAACATGAAGCGAATTGCATGTCTTAATGCTTTAATGGCTGTGGTTGATTCACTTGAAGAGTTCATGCTGATAAAATCTTATAACAATGACATAATCAGTGAGTTTTGTTTCCAAACATCGTCATTGATATTTTCCACAGCTTCTGGTTCTCATAAGTTGCACTCTTTAACCACGAAGCCATTCAACATTTTGGTGATAGATGAGGCAGCACAGCTGAAAGAATGTGAATCAATAATACCTTTGTTACTTCCAGGGATAAGCCATGCTATTCTTGTTGGCGATGAGCGTCAACTTCCATCAATGGCTAGAAGTAATGTATGTGTAATCACTATCAAGCATGTACCCTTTTTTCTATCAGAGAATCCTTCATCCCAAATCGTCCCCTATTGCTAATTTCATTTGTGTTTTTTCATTTGTACAAGGTTTCTAAGGAAGCTGGTTTTGGGAGAAGCTTATTTCAAAGATTGAGTTCATTAGGCTACCCAAAGTATCTCCTTGATATGCAACATAGGATGCATCCTCAAATAAGTTCTTTTCCAAATTCGTATTTCTATTTTAACAAAATTCAGGATGCACCAAATGTTGTAAGAAATGATTATGGGAAGAAATACCTCCCAGGGCCAATGTTTGGTCCTTATTCTTTTATAAATGTAAGTGGAGGCAAAGAACAGTTTGATGATGCTGGAAGAAGCTACAAAAATATGGCTGAAGTCGCAGTTGTGATGACAATACTGAAAAATTTGCACAAAGGTTTGTTCTTCTATTAATAATTTCAGTAGTAACTTCCAAAACTTTTTCTTGCTTTTACTTTTCTTTCTGTCTTTGGTGCTAGAGCTTAGAGGACAATACAATAGCACGTCCGTTTAGAAGAAAATCTGTAATCTTTTAGTCTGCATTTCTTTATTTGAAAGAAGTTCAATAAAAATATTTAGATGGTTTCTTAAACTGTTATATTCTCTTAAAAGTTTTTATCTACGAAATTGTAGTAGTTGTGGTAGTATTAACTAAAGTTATACTTGTGATTGTGAAAAAAGATTAACTTTATTATCTTCACTTGTATATTTTACCAACTCAAGTAGCCAAAAGGAAAAAACAGAAAGACAGTGCTTAAAATCCATGATGTTTGAATTTTTATGTAAAGCTTTGTTTTCCTTATTGTAGAATGGTTGACCTCAAAGCAAAAACTCAGCATTGGTATTGTGTCTCCCTATGCTGGCCAAGTTGCGGCAATTGAAGAGAAACTTGGAAAGATTTTTATAGGTCATGATGGATTTAATGTCGATGTGAAGTCTGTCGATGGTTTCCAAGGTGGGGAGAAGGATGTTATCATGTTATCAACTGTAAGAACCAAGAATAGAACATCTCTTGAGTTCATTTCCTCTCCTCACAGGACTAATGTTGCCCTTACAAGGGCTAGGTACATCTTGTTCTAACTTATCTATTTATTGCAGTCTTATTTGTTTTTTAGGGTCTCATATTAACTGAAGAGCTGCTGTTGTTTTAATATCTTGCAGGCACTGCTTGTGGATTTTGGGGAATGAAAGGGCCGTTACAAATGCAAATGTTTGGAAGGCTATAGTGCTTGATGCCAAGAACCGTACGTGCTTCTTTGATGCAGACCAAAATAAGGAAATGGCAAAAGCTATATTGGATTCCACAAAAGAGGCAGATCTGTTTGATGATTTGCTTGATACAAACAGTATCATTTTCAAAAGTAAATTGTGGAAGGTATGTCAAAATATCAAGATACCAGAGAACATTTTACAATATGCTTTGCGACCTTCCTTTTCTTAAATAGACAACATGATATATGCTTTATAGATTGTTGGAATTTATACAAGGAAGGGAGAGATTATAGGAGATTTCCTATTACAGAAGATATACAGGTAAGGGAGATATTATCCCAGATTTCCTGACAACTAGGATATACCTATTAAAATAGGTAATATTAATAAATTATATTAATATATTTTAACATCCCCTCAAATTGATGTTGGTACATCAACTAGCAACAATTTGCCAACAAGAAATTAATTGTGCTGTCTAGCCATAGCTTTGGTAAAAACAACTTGGAGATCTGTAGAGATGTAAGGAAGAGAGATGATTTTACTGGTCAATGCTTCTTCATATAATAACAATCAACCTCCATATGCTTGTTACGTTCATAGAACACAAGATTTGCAGCAATCTTAATAGAACTTGTATTATCAACATGAAGGGGGTAGGGTTAGGCTATGAAAAGCCAAGCTCCTCCAAAAGGCTATGTAACCACACCATTTTAGCACAATCTGAAAACATTAAACGATATTCAACCATAGTAGAAGATTTAAAAACACGATCCTGCTTCTTATATTTTCAAGAAATGAAGGCATCATTGAGAAACATACACCAACCTATAGTAAACCGATGGGTATTCAAACTCTCTACCCAATAAGCATCACTATATGTCATAAGTTGTAAAAGTGAGCCTTTAGGAAAGAATAACCCATGTGTCGGTGACCCTATAAGATAATAGATAATGCGACGAACAACAATAAAATGAAGATAAATGAAGATGTTGAGGAGAAGACATAAATTGGCTGACTTAGTGAACGACATATGAAATGTTAGGTCGAGTTGTTGTTATGC